GTAACCCACAGTGATTGAAAATGGCAGCTGAAGTGCTTCTACAACACATTAATTTTTCTCTAAGTAGTCCAATTTTGTCATCCAAATGTCGAAAAATCTTCTTTTCATTGCAATTTACACCTTTAGAGATTTGCTGAATTCAGGATCACCACAAGGTAAAATAAAGAGCAGTGTTTTCAAGACAATTTTTAGATTATCACTAATAGCTCTGAAGAATAATACGTTTTCTTTATAGCACTCTACATTCAAAGCAAACTAGTTAACAGCAACTTAAGTGCAATAATAGCAATTACATCGATGTGGGCTTTTTTTTTTAACCTCGATAGTACTTTAGACAACTGAACGGATCAGATAAATAAACTATCATAAAATGCTTTCAGGCTAATGATATACAATTTGAATGCCACTAAAAATATCTCAATCTGAAAAAAATTATCATCCTATTAAGCTGAAGGCCCAAAATGTTAGGCAATTAATAACTTTTTCCTCCAAAATTGTTTATGAGTTAATATTCACTATTAAAATAAAAACAAGGCATTCTGCACAGTTTTTTTTAACAAATCCCTCCTCCAATGAAGGGATATCATCGATTCACATTCAAAATCAACCAACCATCAAAGATAAAACTATAAAAAAAATGAGCTTACAAATTTCTAAAACCTTCTCTGAGATTCGTTTTCATCTTATGTTTTAGTAAATCTTAAGCTAAGTAAATAAAAACAATACTTCTCCAAAAGCTGAAGATAGTTCTCCTTTGACCCATCTGTTCCATGAAATAACCCAAATACTTGTTTCATCACTCATTATACTCAGTTGTTAAAAGAAATTCAAAGAATGAATCTCTCACATATGTAAAAAAGCACTAGCAAATACATTATATATATTAAGAAAAATAAACCAACTTTAAGCTAAACTCTAGTTTAACTGTTTGATAAAATACAAAACTTTTGAGACAAAATATTTGAACAGAATTACTTCTATTTAAATACAAGTCACAAAAAAATTGAGTGTCACCCAGAAACCTTAAACTTAAACTGGCAATAGACGCTACATTAACAAAGTTCATGTTATATTTTAATAATCAAAATTCTCCACTGATTTTTTCCCTACTAATTTAGCAAGCACATTAAAAATAACATTTTCTAGGTAAAAATGAATTTGCTTTTATCACAAAATTTCTATTATTTGATACACTCATGAAAAGACTTTCTTTCCCATTTTATTAATATAACAAAGTGTAGGCCCTAGAAAAGAACTAAGAAAGTAGGAAAAGCTTTCTCACTCTCTCTTCTACTGAAGGAACCCCAAAAGACAGGCAACAGTGACTATCATAAAATAAAAGGTCACCTTTTTTCTAGGAACAAACCATTTATCAATAGAAAATAATTGTCTTGCCATTTGCAAGGGCTCCACAGTAATAGACAATGTTTTTTGCTCACATAATTACAAAACAGTAAAAGTTCAGAAACACAGCCTAAATCCACCTCCCTATTTTTACCCTTTACAATTCTCATTGCCCTTTGGGCCTCCTCTTGGAAGCAAATGGAAGACAAGCTGAAGTTTTCTCAATTGAGCTGAAGCTAAGAAACCTTTGATATGCTAATAGTCCCCTTCAAACGGTAAGAATTCACACTTGCATTAATTCAAACAATTTGTGCAGAATGATGTGAAATGGCACCTCTTTTAGAGGCAAGCAACAAAAGGAGAGAATTGGAATGTCTGAAGAAACTAAACAACAGAACATTTGTTCTGCAGTATTCTCTTCATCACGCATAAATTTATTGGAGGATGGAGGGAGGAAAAACAAAGTTCCATAACACATCTAACAAAAGTAGAATTTCTTTATAAAGTGTTTCTCAAATATTATAAGATACTAAATTTAAAGTTAGAGTTACGTTTTACCTAGATCAAAGGAGTCCCATCACAACTTGGAATGTTGCCAAAGACATCACACAGACCAATCTATTTTTCTGCTATGGATGCATATTGCCTCCTTAGTGCCCTCCTTACTGCCCACCTTTTAAGGTTCACCCAAGATCAAACCTGATTTAGACATCCCAACAGGCAATTATTTACCAAACGGATGTGACTTTTCTTCATTGTGCAACTCGAGTTGAGCAAAGAGCAAACTCGCTGGGGCCCGTTCCAGACACAAATACTGACAGGGAAGTGAATGAACCAACCACGTCCGTTAAAGCTATACCTCTGGAAAAAGGAAGAGAGAAGTGCATGTACTGTAAAAACTCCAAAAGAAAATTTACGAATTGGGGGTGGGGGCGGGGAACAGAGTGCCTTAGAACCTGGCCTTTGTAACGGGAACCATATGGTTGGTGGCTGCGGCTCAGACGCTCCCAGGCTGCTTGGAGAAGCTGCTAAGCAGCCTGACACCTTTCAAGAAACAGGAGGAAAATA